ACAACACAAGACCGCGGATGAGGCGAGTGTGGAAGCTGAGTCAACCACGTACCTGGAGGAAGAGGTCAGTGATGGTGTTGAAGTCAAGCGGCGAGCCTCCCTCCATTTGCGCCATCATCAGGGCGAAGTTCAGCGCCCCTGAAACAAACCACCATCAGCAAACTCAAACAGGAGCAACCCCAGGTGAGCGAACAAGCTGCGGGTTACCAGAAGCAGAGACGCCAGCAGGAGAGACAGAGAGACATGGGAAATTCTCTAATAATCTTGTGTGCGCCGTCACGCACCTGCGGGTTGCTCCGCAGCATGGTCTGCATGAGCCAGAGGTAGTCCGGGTTGTACCCGACTTGCTTGGAGTACACGAGGATCTTGTCAAACTCGCCGCGCTCAGCAAAGGACGCAATAACCTTGGGCGTGGCGCGGCACTTGATGTACACCTTCAGTGCCATGTCGCCATCCACAGGCTGTGTGACAAGATGAGGAGAACACAGAAGTTAGCCACTCAGGCGTTGACATCACCGACCTTAGGCGGCCCAATTGCTTTAAATTCCTTCCCAATAAATTAGAAACGGGGTGGTTTGAGAATAGCTTTGAATATGACTTTTTCTGTTTAGTCCTGGGTGCACTATCTTGGTTCTTTTTCGCTTGCCTGCCATGCCGCAATGCAATGCGCCCCGCCTCAGGTCACCACGGCATTCCAGCGTCCTGACGCACTACAAGTCACTACGCACTCACCTTGACGAGGTCTCCAAGCTCCTCGCTGCACTCCAGCTTGTCCTCGTTGAGCCAGTTCTCAAGCAGGTTCTTCTTGTTCTGATTCACCACCAGGCGCGACAGCTCCAGCGACTCAAACGCGTTCAGCTTGCCCTTGGTGAGCAGCGTGCCAAAGTACTGCAGCAAGGGGGAGGTCTGCCCCGGTTGCACAGGGACACTCTGCAAGAAGAACACGATAAAATGTAAAAAAAACACAGTATTACGAAAGGAACAGATGCAGAGGGAACGAACGTGCAGACACAGTATTCGCGTGCGCACTAGAATGATTCCATTGCGTGTGTACGGTTGTTTGATAGCCCGCCTAACTACAGTTCGGCTGTACCTGGAACTTAGCAACAGTCTCAGGCGTGCGAAGGATTCCCTGAGGAGACTCAGCAGCCAGATCAGCAGCCTCTTTGTACTTCATCTGAGAGAACAGCTCCTGGAATCTTTGCACGACCTGCACAGGGAGAATGAACGAGAGGACAACCGAGAGTGGTGTGCTCAGGCGCAAGAAAATTGCGTCCAACTCACGGCAAGGAGCGTCAGCAAGCAGACGCGAAACTAACGTGCAGATCGTCAACATACCAGATTTTCAGCACAGGCAGGTTCCCGCGGCGTGCGAGGTGATAGCGAGCTCGAGGTTGTTGAGCTGGCCGCTGACGAACGGAACGATGGTCTGCTCGTTCACCGTGGCAAGGAGAACCTGCCCGCGGCGATTCACTGCGTAGAAACCGCCCACGCTGGGAGCATCGGCGGCCAGGAAGATGGGGTCCGGCTGATGCGGTTGCGGTACACGGCTGTGGCAGACTCGAGGTCGTACACGAAGAGCAGACCCAACTTGGTGACGACATACACCAGGCCGAACTTGGCCGAAATCTGAACGAATATGAGGAGGAGAGCGGAGCGTGACGAGGGGAGGCGACGAAGGAGCAAACACAGAGCTTAATCGCAAGAACGGGAGGGAACAAAAAGCGGCAGAAACAAAGCATTGATGCAAGCTCCCTCACCTGCATGGCCACTGGGAAGTCATCAGCGAAATCTGGCGGGAAGAACAGGTCGGCCTGCTTCTTCGTGAAGGGAACGCGACCTGCGACGGATCGAACAGGATAATACATGTCAGAACCGCCTGATCTAATATGAGACATTCAACATCTGCAAACATTCGCGGACCTGGTTGAGCGCCAAGCTCGATGATATGCAACCTCGAGATTAGCTGCCCGCCAGTGATAGTCTTGGTGGCAAACGCAATGACCAGAGAAGGCGTGTCATTTCCTGGCACCTGCGCGGTAAAAAATAGACCAGTAGATACTTAGGACTCCAACACGTCGAAAAGCGCTTGGCGTTCGACAGCTTCTAAACGGCAAGAGAAATCAAAGCAAATCAAGATTGGCTCAACCAACCTTCACGGAGGCAAACGCAGCTGCATGCGATTCCAACGCCTGACTCTTCTGCTGATCCACGGAAAAGAGCTGCATGTTTCCCTTGACGAGTTGTGGACGCTGAAAGCAACATAAACCAAAAAACAGTATCACAAATCATGTTCGCAACTTATGGTTTCGCCATTAATAATCACTTACTACTCGTATGAAGTTGTTCTTAGCGTACCTCAGGAGCACCAGTGCGATGCGATCAGAACGAGCCATTTGCCAGAAGGATCACTCCGGTAGTTGATAATCTGGTTCCCGTTCAGGTTCGCCGTCCGCTCAAACATCTTGACGGGCTCTCCCTCTCCTGATTGAAACAAAGAGGACCCAAGACGAGGAACAAGATCAGCACGGCGCGTTCGCTGCAATAACGTGCCTTGGATAATACAAGGGAAAACTGAATGAGTAGGCTAAATTTTAGTCAGAAAACCATGCTCAGAATGGTATCTGGGATTACAACCTTCGATTGACCAGTGGTAGACAGATGTCAGGGTCACGAGGCCGAGGACCTTGTTGGAGATCCACTTCCAGTACACAACCTGGAGAGATGGAAAGTGGTATGTCAGTAAGCCTATTGTATTTCGAACTGGTGGAAGCTGCAACTGTAATCTGAGCTAACCTGCTCTGGCATCTGGTACGACTTGATTTTAGCCTTGGCCTCGATGTTGAAAATCTGCAAGTGATCTTGAGTTGTCCCTTGAATCAGAGCTGCACGTGGAAACGAGATGTCTGAGAAATCCGATCCCTAAACAGCCGGATATAAACAAACGAGCTAGCGGGAGCACTGACCCTTGAGTGCCAGGATTTTGCTTTCAGGATTCATCAGTGCTGAGTCAGCAGTGATAGGCCTCCTCAAGGGCTGCATTGGCATCGCCATGTCAATGATAACGACGCTGTTCGACGGAGCCGTTTCCCTGACACAAATATACTTATCGGACTCCATCGTGACATGGGTGAAGGAGATAAACTGCTGATTGACCCCCAGATTTGTCAACTGCACAAGGATATACGGTGGGAGCAAGGACCCATGTCGCATATTTTAGACGTCGTTGAGTCAAGATAACATCTACCTTCAAAATCCTGAATTTCTTCAAGCAAACCGCTATTACGCGTGTGAACGAGATGGGCCGATCGAGCAATCCTGGCCGATCTACACGAATCCTTCCTTCCGTCTATTTCACTCACGCTGAGGGCCTCCTTCAAAACGATAGGAGCGCTTGCTGTAGCCATCTTGCCACCGCGGAAAAACACTAGTCGACCAAGATAAAAACGCGAAAACCGAGATTAATGGCCTGCTTGCAAGTAACTCCTAGTGCTATGGGGCCCTACAGAGGTTGTTGCCTGCTGTCAGTGAAGCAGATCTGAATATGGCTGATCCAATCCAACACGAAAACTGGTTTGGTTTGGAGATGCTCCCAGAAGAAATGGAGCAGCAGCCAATTTCTGGGGATTGGAGGGAAGGGGGAGCTGTTGTTGGTGGGAGCTTGGGAGGGAGGGATGCGTGCGTCACGTTCGGCAGCATCTAGGCTTGCGATATCTTGAACGAAACAATCGACGGCTAACGAAACACTACTGGGATTCCTGAAACTGGAGTCGTTTGCCGAAACTCATAACGGTCGCCTTACGACATGAGGAAAAATGATAGCCTTAGTGGATAACTCGTTATAACCCATTGATCAATCGTGCAAATCCCATCACTTCATCCCCCCTTAGTTGCCCTCCACTCTCCTCCATTGTGCAGCACTTTAAACTCCTGAGAAATCCATCTTTATCTCAAGTAGTCAAATTAATGACTTACAGCACAAGCCCTTGGTCATACGGTAAATGAGGTAATATACTGGAACTCATATCATACAGGTACATTTCATGCTCTTAGTTTTGTCCTTCAAAGCATGTTAGAAAGTGTTAGTCCGATTTGCCCCCAATTTTAATTCCTACCGGGGCATGTGCATAGAGTTCTTGTCACTTGGGTTTGAATGGTGTGATTGATAATCGCCACCATTAAAAATCAAGATCAGCCATTTTAGTGGCTAACTTTTGCCTCTACCTTTCTGAGTCTGTGTGCACTCTGTTGGAGTTTTTCTAGTTGTTTAGTAGAGGTAATTGAGGCTACACTATATATCCTTCGCAACTTTCTAATCCTTATCCGGCTTGAATGGTCCAGAATCAGACGTGCGTTTGGGCCGTTGGTCGAACCGAGTGGAGAGAGGGAAAGAAAATAAAGGAGGCTCTTTCTGCTCTCGCCTGGCTGCTGCTCGCGCCCTTAGGGCGCGCTACATTGCGTCCGTTTCGGAGGATCGCGAGATTTTTTTCGATTGTCTGTTTTTAAAAGGATATCGATTCTGTCTCAGTAAAAACGATCTGCGATATCGACCGCGTACGCGATCTAGCCATTTTCCATATTTGCATCTTCCGATCTCGAGTATCGATTGCAGCTGTACAGCATGACATTTCGCAGTACGTTTCGTGAAAACCCAGCAACCTTCCCAGGACGTTCGCAATTTCCAACACACCACTACACCGCGACTCGAGTCCACCCAACGTTTTTCGCCATGGCGAACTGGTGAAGCGTGTTTGATTTCGGTGGGATTTGGGGTAAAGCGATCTGATACGTTGGACGCGCTGTGATTCCCCGTTTTGCTTCGAGTGTGATCCTGCCCTCGGATCTGCTACATGACTATTTCGATGCTTCTGTAGCTGTCGGGTTACCAGCTTTTTACAGTGCGAAGATCGAAAAATGATCGGCGAACCGGACGCAATGTAGCGCTTCCTAACCGCAATGAAAGGTCAGTCAGGGAGGAGGCGTGCACAGAATTGTGTACCCTTCCTGACCTAGTAGCACACGCTGCAAGCTGCAGAGGTTCTTGTTGCTAGTGTCTACTTGCCGTCCTTGCCGCCAGCCGTGTTGACCCATCTTGCATTGGAAGTCCGAACAGACTTCCAGTTTTGCTCTTAGCTCGTTTCCAGCCGCGTCCCAACGATTTAATCAGTACCAGTTTAAAAAACGGCTGTGTGCTATTTCCTCGCACCTTTTGTCCACCTGAATACATTATTGTTGCATAGAGTTGACCTGCAAGTTATCTATTTATGGGTTGCGTTTCGTCGCGAGATGCTTCGCCTAAGCCGGCGGGTCTGGACAAGAGCAAACTGTCGCAGCGTACGTAGCAGTTTCAATAAAGAGCTTGATTTATCGACCTTACTCACTTCCGTTTTCTCCTCTCCTCGGCATTGTCCCATGTGCTAATATCTCGTAAGATGCTCGGCCGGCATGATTTTTTCCTTCGTCATGCGCCTCATTACCATCACAATACATTGCACGTAGCAATCGTTGCTAAAACATTCAGAAGTCCCTTTTTTCACCACCGATATCCCTTCGCTTTTGCAGAGAAAGAGACCACCAGCTCGGCGTCGGTCGCGCCACAGCAGCCTGCACCGTCCGCTCAACCACCCAAAGGCGAACCACCCAACGGAGGACCACCCAACGGCGGACCACCCAAAGTCGGGCCACCGTCAGGACCCGCGTCGGGCGAAATAGGAGCGTCAGGAGA